CCGGGGGGCAGAATCCTCCCCCTGCTGATTTTTGTTGCTAGCATTCCCCCGGAATAATTTCTGCGTGCTAATGCTTTATGACATCTTTTCCCCAATGTATTAGCCTTATTTTTGACCCCAAACTTATGAAATTGGAGGTGGTGTTCTCTCTCATGGCTGATGGTGAATTTGAAACGATGTTGATGGCGCTTTAATTAAACCGGTGGATGAATACGGTTAAGCAAAATAGTCCCCTTTTAATAGATCACAAATAAATGGCGGGGGCATAGTTTTACACTGCCACACTTGTTTACCATCAAGACCTCGTTATACCCACTCTATATTATTGCTGGTAGAACTCGCCATAACGGAAGGGTTAGTTACGTAAGCAAGGAATAAAAGGCGTTTGGTGCTCACACAGGCACATCTACGCCATTTCAAACAGAGAAGAGAAAGTGATGATCCGAAAAAGGAAGCGTTGTTAGTCAAAAATGTGTTAAAGAAAACCGGATTTTCCTGGTCTAAAAATACATTTTCTGTTAGCAAAGTGTTAAAACATGATGCATAACCGTTGTTGTCACCACATGATGCATACCCGTTGTTCGGGCCATGCCTGGTTCTTCATTCACTTTGTTCACAGACGCAAGAAGGCTAGGTCGTCAAACATTTCCCGTTGTATGTATATTAATCGTTGTAGAGGTACACGCAGATATCGAATGCTGGAATATTTGTCCTTCATGGAGAGCTATCAACTAAACTGATTTATCAACATTAATAAGACCCAGCCATGGTATTCTGGGATCATTTTGGCTCGTCAGTTGTCCTTTTTGTCGTCTTCATTCTACACAAAGGTGAGGTAAAATTAATGGCAAAAAAAACGCAATGAATTAAGTTTAAGCAAAGACCGGCATGACAATTTTTTGTTTCAGGTTCCATGTGCATGGTTTTGGACTTTTATTTTTTTTTTGTTCTGAAGTACAAGACTTTAACTAGCTAATTATTTGTTTTTTTCTATTATTTGTTTTTTTTTTTTAACAACTGTTCCGTTGTATGGTCCTATATACATTCATTAACCCTCAAAGCAGACTCCGCCCACTAAAACAAACTTTCTTCATGTGGTGATTGTAGTCTCCAGGTAAATTCCATGTTTTATGGTAGGTAATGCATCCCTGAGGTCCCCTCTAGCTAGATTTCAGGCTGCTGTGGAAAATAATTAATACCAGGTCACAACCCAAACAGCCGCCCAGTCAGCACATGTCTGTCAACAAAGAGATCCAGTTCCTGATAGAGACCATATGAGCTCCTTGGGGTAACTGATTTTTCAAGAATTTTAACTCGGCAGTGGTTAGGGTCTAGCCAATGGGAGTTTACAGGCTTGTCGTGTATGCCAGGGGGTAAGAATTACAAAAGATCTTTGCCAAGTTGTCCCATTATGACCACATTTGGTGATATCTGTCCATTTAAATCCCCGCACCGTTGACTCCAGGGTTTCATTAAGCAATTAACTTGTACGTACGTTTAATGAAAATCTTAAGTCAAGTCTAACATTTAATGAGAAGATCAGCATGTGGCAAACTGAACTGAAGCGCACCCTCGATCGTTGGAAAGAGCTATGTTGGTCGGAAGAGTTCAATTTGCTAGTAGCGACGCGACCGTAACGCGTGCATTTCGTAGTCATTTGTGAACCAGCTAAGTACAGTCCTGGCCAGAGGAGCCCCAACTAAGAAAATTGCACCCTCTAGCATGGCGCTCATACAATCTTTTTCTCACGCTAGGGCATGAAATGAAAACCAACGTTCACAAACAAGGAGACTTAGGGAACGACATTTTCTTGAAGAACGCAAGGATGAAATTCTGACATGAGTGTTTGGGCATTGGTAGTCTGGTTCCTGGACCAGAAAATTCTAACGACGAACCCAGCATACAAAAATCACAGGTACATAAGTCTGGAAATTAGACTTCGCCGCGCCGTGCACGTTGTGTCAACTGCTGCAACGCACGCGTAGTGACCGTGACATTGCTAGCCAGATCACTTGTTCTTGTAGCCATGTCATCTGCATTCAGTGTTTCTTTTACTCAGTGGCAGGTGTTAGATAAGATAAAACTACTTTTGAATTAGAAGTACCGGTACTTGTACTCGTACTCGGAAGTGCAAGTACTTGTACTCGGAAACTAGTACTTGTACTCGGCTGGTAAAGTACTCGACCTATCTTAGTTTGTACTCGGCAGTCAAAGTACTCAGCAGTACTTGGTACTCGGAAAAAAGTACTCGACTACAACACTGCATGTACAGAGGTACGATAAGATAAATAGTCTTTGCGTTTGGACGAAAAAAATTTAACGTTAACTAGCTCAAATGGACTCGCCCAAAGGGGCCGTTCCCTCTCCTGAGTCGCTATTGCATTCTACCTCGCCCACTATTACGTCACTCCGTGATCACTAGAGGTTGCGCTGACCAAGCCTTTAGTGCGTAATCTGACGTCTTAGCCTTCGGACGTAATTTTTGGTGCGAGTCACCAATGCATATTCTCTGAATTAATCATCCTGTTGAACGGCACTGTCCTATCGTGGCAGATGATAGTACCCGTGCCTTGTTTGATTTGGCTAATGACGTAGCAGGAAACCATGTACGGTCTGATGCAGAAATAACTCTGCTTTCTACTGGGATCATGAAGAACAAACCCTTCAATGCAGAGCAGGTTGAAAACTTGGCTACTGCACAGGCCCTAGGCCGAAAGCGAAAACTGGCTGGTTCTTTAGAGGCAGCTGACATCCAGGGTAATAAATGTGTCCAGTCTACCGCTTTGGCTCCACTTGGTAAGCGCCAAACTAGTAGTGTTAAAGTTAGCTAGTGTT